CTCCAGCCCGGAGCATGTGGGGTCTTAGTTTCCTCACCAGTGATAGAACCAGGGTCCTTGGCACTGACAGCACAGAGTTCTAACCACTGGACCATCAGGGAACCCCCTGGAAGATGGATTCTTAGCCACTGGACCCCCAGGGAAGTCCCTGAAAGCCTTTTATAGACAAACAAAAATAGAATTACAGTATATATACACCTTGACAACTAATCTTCCTTGAAAGAGTATCACAAGTATTTTTCAGTGTTAGTACTTATTTGTTCATTGGTTTAGCAAACATTAGTTGTTGCTGCTGTGAGCTAGTCCTCTTGGATCTGGGGGTGGGGAGAGAACACAGGAGGCGGTGAACCGGTGCTGGGTGCAGAGAGAGAGATTTGTTCCGGACATCTCGAGCGAGCTCACACTTCAAGGGACAGCCAAGAGAGGGCTAAGCTAGAGATAAAGGACGTAGGAGTCAGCAGCTTCTTGGTGAAACCATGGAGATAAATGAGACCACCCAGGGACAATGGGCAAAGTGAGAATAAGGCCCTAATAGATCCCCATGGACTCCAGGTGTACCTGGGGAAGGCAAGAATCTGTCTGAGAGACTGAAGTTTTAGGGAGATGAGAGAAAAAAGCAAAGAAATGTGTCCTTAGAAGCTGAGGTGGAAAGAATTTTAGGGAGGAAGGAGTGGTTATGTCTTGGTGCCACTGAGAAAGAAATGTAAATTAAGGATCCTCAGGTGTTACTTGCATCAGAGGGCTTGGATTAACTGGATCAGTGCCAGCAGGTTCAGTTGAGTGGCTTAGAAGCAATCCGGCAGTAGATTGAAACATAAAAGGAAAATAACAAGGGAGAGAAAATTTGTGGGCAACCATATGAACAAGAAATTGAAATTCAAAAAGGATGGTATTTTTACAGTAGACACAGATACTCTTGTGTTTGCTTCCTGCAAATGCCAGTGAATCTGGATTTTAGCACTCTCCTGAGAAACCACTGATTTATTCCAGATTTCTTGAAGGAGACCCAGTTTGATTCCTTGGTAGGGAAGATCAGCTAGAGAAGGGATAGGTTACCCACTTCAGTATTCTTGGGCTTCCCTTGTGGCTCAGCTAGTAGAGAGTCTGCCTGCAATGCGGGAGTCCTGGGTTCGATCCTTGGGTTGGGAAGATCCCCTGGTGAAGGGAAAGGATACCCACTCCAGTATTCTGGCCTGGAGAATTCCATGGACTGTATAGTCCATGGAGTCGAAGAGTGGGACACAACTGATTTTCACTTTCTCTACCTGTAGTCTCCTGGGCCCCACCCTAGAATGTGAGACCTAAGAATTTGCCTTTTTTCTGCCCCCTGGCTTTGCTGCTCAGGTTCTGGAATCTTATTCCCTTACCAGAGATCCAACCTTAGCAGTGAAAGCCCTTGAGTCCTAACCACTGGACTACCAGGGAATTTCCAGAATTTGCATTTTTGAGGAATTTCCTGGTGGTTCAGTGATTAAGACTTGGTGCTTTCACTGCTGTGGGCCCAAGTTTGATCCCTGCATGGGGAACTAAGATCGCAAAAGCTACTCAGCACGGCCAGAAAAAAAAAAAACTTGCATTTTTGAGATGCTCAACAGGTGATTCTTATTTTTTCTAAGGTATAAAAAATGCTACTGATCTAGAGTTCCTTGTGTTACTCGATCATTTTCCTTTTCCCTCCAACTTGTAGATTAAAAATTTTCAAACAATAGAAAAGTTGGGAGGATGGCAGAAGCAACATCTATAATGATTCACCTAGATGCACCAACTGTTGACTTTTTATCACGTTTACTTCCTCTCACCTTTTTTTTTTCCTGAATCATTTAAAAGTAGGTGCAGGGTCGGGGACCAGAGGGAAGTTCAAGAACAAGGGGACATATGTATATCTTTGGTTGATTCATGTTGATATACAGCAGAAACCACCACAACACTGTAATTATCCTCCAATTAAAAATAAATAGGGACTTCTCTGGTGGTCCAGTGGCTAAGACTCTGCACTCCCAGTGCAGGGGACCTGGGTTCAAATCCCTTGTCAGGGAACTAGATCCCACATGCTGCAACTAGGACCTGGTGCAGCCAAATAAATATTTAAAAATAAATAAAGACAATAAATAAATAGATAAACAAGGCTGTGTGCATGTAAAAAAAAAAAACAAGTAGGTGCAAACATCATGTGTCATCCCCAGATACTTCAGCAAGCATCTACCAAGAATAGGTATTTCTCCTGAACAGCCACCATACCATTATCAAACCTAAGAAATTGAACACTTCTCCAGCACAACCCAATAATCAATCCATACTCAAATTTCCCCAAATCTTCAAAAAAAATTTAACCTTTTCCTTTCAATTTAAGATTTAGACAACATACATACATTCAATTGTTGTGTCTCTTTAGTCTGCCTTTTTTAGTGTGTGTGATAATTTACTTTTTTTTTTTTTAAGAGACCAGTACCTCTTATACAAAGTCATACACATGTTTTGTTTGATGTTTGTCCCTCTGATTAAATTTAAGTTCAGTAGTTTCGACCATCCCTGTAGGCAGTCATATCAGTAGACACCTGATGAGGTTATCTCTTTATTGGTGATACCTTTTTTTTTTTTTTAAATTTATTTATTTATTTTATTTTATTTTTTTTTATCACAACCATAGTGTATCTTTTTTTTTTTTTTTTTACATGTATTCCCCATCCCAGTCCCCCCTCCCACCTCCCTCTCCACCCAATCCCTCTGGGTCTTCCCAGTGCACCAGGCCCGAGCACTTGTCTCATGCACCCAACCTGGGCTGGTGAACTGTTTTACCCTAGATAATATACGTGTTTCAATGCTGTTCTCTTGAAACATCCCACCCTCGCCTTCTCCCAGAGTCCACAAGTCTGTTCTATACATAGGAGTCTCTTTTTCTGTTTTGCACATAGGGTTATCGTTACCATCTTTCTAAATTCCATATATATGTGTTAGTATACTGTAATGGTCTTTATCTTTCTGGCTTACTTCGCTCTGTATAATGGGCTCCAGTTTCATCCATCTCATTAGAACTGATTCAAATGAATTCTTTTTAATGGCTGAGTAATATTCCATGGTGTATATGTACCACAGCTTCCTCATTCATTCGTCTGCTGATGGGCATCTAGGTTGCTTCCATGTCCTGGCTATGATAAACAGTGCTGCGATGAACATTGGGGTGCACGTGTCTCTTTCAGATCTGGTTTCCTCGGTGTGTATGCCCAGAAGTGGGATTGCTGGGTCATATGGCAGTTCTATTTCCAGCTTTTTAAGAAATCTCCACACTGTTTTCCATAGTGGCTGTACTAATTTGCATTCCCACCAACAGTGTAAGAGGGTTCCCTTTTCTCCACTATTGGTGATACCTTGTTTGGTCTCTTGTTCAAGGTGGTGACTGTCAGACATCAGTGGAGTGACACTGTGCACTGTTTGTCCCTATGTTTGAGTTCAGTACTTTTGGCCACTGTGTAGGTGATCACATCAGGAAGCACTTGATGAGGTTATCTCTTTATTGGCTCCCTGGTGATCCTTGCCTGATTCATTGGAGAGTGTGTGTGGCAAAATGGTCATTTTCTAATTTGCTCATTCCTTCTATGTTAATTAGTTTATATTCTTCCATAAAGAAGGAACTTCCTCTCTTTAAAATTACTATTGAGTGATAGTAACTTCTTCCTTTGTGCTAGTTTTCATTCACGGACTCCCATTTAAAATCTTATATATGCCAGATTGCATTCATTGTTCTTCCATTTTTGTTAAGTGAAGCCATTATAATTGCCAATATAAATGAGCTTTATTGGGTAGGAGATGACAAGTGCATCCACACTGAGAAATGTAATTATACCAAAAACTAGGGAACCTAATACTTTAGCCTCCCTGACATAAATAAGCAGTCATGTAGAATCCAGGCTTCTGTATTTGGACAGAGATTAGGTTGTCCTACTCCTGACCACCTCATCAGGACCGTGGGCTTGCAGCCACTGGCCCAGCCTTCCCTCTCACTTTCTTCCTTGATTACCAGGCCCCACAAGCTTTCCTGACCTCACCGCTCCAACGTCCCTGCTCGCAGAGACTCCCTTTGCAAAGACCAGGGTTTATATTTGGCTTTTAGGATTGTGTATGCCGAGTAGCTGGGAAATGGTTGATTTTCCTCAGCAGTGTCTCACGAGATTGCCATTCTTCTGAGGACTTCTCTATACCCTGAGAGACGTCTTCTAATATAGGGGGCTTTCTCATCCCTTGACTTTCTGTCCATATCATCAAGTTCTTCCTTTCTCACTCAGAATGAGGGTTTCCTGACCATGATTTTCTGTGACCTTTTCCCCCTTATTACAAATCAGTACTGTCTATTAGAGGCTTCCCAGGTGGCCCTAGTGGCCTGTCCATGCAGGAGGCACAAGAGATACAGGTTCAAGTCCTGGGTTGGGGACATCCCGTGGAGAAGGAAATGGCAACCGGCTCCAGTATTGCTGCCTGGAAAATCCCTTGGACAGAGGAGACTGGCTGGCTTCAGTCCATGGGGTCACAGAGTTGGACACAACTGAGCACAGACTGTTCATTAGACAAAAATTAGCAAATACCGATGAGCAAAAAATTACAATATGTAGACATTTTGGATTCTCTTAGTATGGGTTGGGCACTTTATATAACTCATTTAAGCCTGATAGCAAACCTAGGATTTGTGTTATCCTCATTTTTTCTTCCTTTGCAGTTGAGGAAAATGAGACATGAGGTTAAATGCGTGGCTTAGGTTCATTAGCTAATAAGTTGCAGAGCCAAGACTTGTTTATATCACCCTTGCAGAGCTTTTTCCTCTATGTGTTCATGCTGAATTACTTCAGTTGTGTCTGACTCTGTGGGACCCATGGACTATAGCCCTCCAAGCTCCTCTATCCAAGAGATTTTTCAGGCAAGAATATATACATACATAAAAAATACAGTTCAACAGCATTCTTTTTAATCTAGCATCTTTCTCTTTCCCCTCCTCCCGAACCTATCCTCAGGATTGACGAGAATGTGCTGGGAGCCCAGCTGGATGTGGAGGCCGCCCACTCAGAGATCCTCAAGTACTTCCAGTCGGTCACCTCCAACCGGTGGCTCATGGTCAAAATCTTCCTCATCCTCATTGTCTTCTTCATCATCTTTGTGGTCTTCCTTGCCTGAACCCTGTCCACTCTGAGGCACTCCGTGGGGGTTTGGAACCCTTCTGGGAGGGCAGGTGGCCAGAGCTGCCACTGAGCCTGTGCAGGGTGCTTGGGAGAAGGGCCCTGTTTCCTTGGAACTGCTAAGAATGACCACTGCCCTCAGTCCCCCACTCCTTGCCTCTGGCCACCCAGCCCTCCCCTCACCACCCTCCAGCCCATGAAACACTCACGGTTCTGGATTTGGACTCTGCTGTGAAGTGGCTGGAAAGGAGCAGAGGCCAACTGAGGGGCTCGTCGGGGAGATTGTCTCACCAGGAGATCTTTATAAACCCTCCCCAGCCTGTCGCAAAGGGAACTTTGGCAGCAAGGGGAGATGATGCCTTTCCCCACCTTCCTGAGCGAGGAGAGAAGTGAAACTGCCCCAGGGACCAACTTTCCCATTTGGGTTAGAATTTGACCTCTTCCTCCTCTCTTTACCACATGAGGCAGGGGGCCCTGAGCCCCTCGGCGGCCTGCACAACCCCAACTCTGGCTGCAGGTGACTCTCAATCTGCCAAACGTGCTGCAGCCCGTTTTCTCCCAATTACAGCAAGACTGTCAGCCTCACTAGCCATGTCGTCATTTTCTGGGTGGGAGCGCCGAAGAAGGGCCTAGGCAGAAATGGAGGGAGCCTGCTGCCCAATATTACAACTGAAAGGGCTGGACTGATGACCCTCAGGTGCCAGGCTTTGGGCTCCATGTACACAGCTGCTTCCAGCAGGCATGACCGAGTGCAGCAGTACTTAATTATCATGGGAAATTCCCTTCAAAGCCGGGTACATGATCCCAGAGTGGGTCTCTGATTAGTGGTAACTTCCAGGACCATCTCCAGAAGTATTGACCTGTTTCATCTGCATCCTCCAGTCCCACCATTTTCCTTGGGCTGGATGAAGCAGGGGTTCTGCCTGCTGCCAGGAGTGAAAGGTGAAGAATTTGTTCCCAGCTCCAGCTGAGGCTTTTGGTCCCCTTGAAGCCCCTCACCAAATCCAAGCCAGTCACAGGAGAATGAAGTAGAGATCCACCTGGAATACCTCCCTCCAGGAAAGTCAATATGCTTGTCAGTCCTGACCAGGGCCCACAGCCACATCATTCTGAGGTCCCTGGAGTACCCCCATTTCATACACCCCCAAGGAAGCTCAAGCTGTAGTGACAACAGTCACACTGGGCTGGCTGTAGTACCTTCGGGGCGGGGGCGGTAGTTATCTAGAAGAGCCCTGGCCTTTCTTAGCCCTGGCATTTTAGTGTTTCCTCTCCCTTTGACCTGTGTTCAGGGGGTGCTTTTGCTTGCATCTTAACTGTTTAGTTGACACACGATGTGGGTTTAAGCACAGCACATCGATGGTGGGTGGGGCGATCTGTGAAGATCACAGCCTGACAAATGCAGTTTTTCTCATTTGACTCAGCAACTATTGGGGGGGGGGGGTCGTTGCATAGATTGGAAATTTATTTCATAATATTTGCTGAGTTCCTGGTACGTGCTAGGTATGGTACTGAGCCAGGCACTGGAGAAAAAAAAAAGCCATGAATTAGTCAACTCCTTGCTCTCTTGGAGCTTACCTTTTAGTTTTCTATTTCATTTTATAGGCGAGGAAAGCAAGGCATATATCTGTAGAAGGCAGAGGGCTGAGCTGAGACTTAAGCCCAGGCTGGATCCTCCTACGGGTCTTGGAGCGGTCACTCCAAGGCACTGCTCTTCCGTTCCTCAGAAGCCCTTCTTGTGGCCCTCCTTCCCTTTTTCTGTTTGAGCTCTGGGGTGCAGTGGCCATCTCTGCTTCAGCGCCAACCTTGGAGGTGCTGCCTACGATGCAAGCAGGGGGCAGGTGCGAGTAATAATCTGAGGGATCAGTAAACTAATCAGTACCGGGCGGGGCGTCGGCCCCAAGCCCCGCCCGAGTGTCTCTGCTGGTTGAATGCGCACGCGCGTCTCCCAGTGGCTCCGCCTATCATCGTGGGACGTCGGCAGCGCGCGACGCGGTCTCCTTATAAATGCGGTGGTAGCCGGCGTAGGAGCACTTCGGCCTGGAGCGCCTTGGCATTCGGACGTTTGGCTAGGTAGCGGCCCGCGACGCAGCCCGCCCCTGCCTCTAGCTGTGCCATGGCGGACGAGGGGAAGTCATACAACGGTTAGTGCTGGTCCTTGAGCCGGAGAGAGGGGCGATCTGGAGCCTCGCTGGGCAGCGCCGGCCTAGGCCGCAGCGCCGGGGCGGGAGGCCGCGAGGGGCTGGGTGTCCGCGGGGGACGGCGATGGGTGGCGCGGGCCCGGGGCGAGGCAGTCCGGGCCCTGGCTGAACTCGAGGGTGGGTGCCCGGCTCGTTGACCCCAGAATCCTGGCGTTGTGAGCACCTGCGGCTCGAAGCGGGTGGCTCGGCTGTGGGGTGACTGGATTCCTTTGAACTTTGTGGGTGGTGGATGCCTGTCAGTTCAGTTTGGCGGCTATACTAATGTGAGTCAGTGCCCTGTTCTTGGGCTGCCGGTGCCCTGTTTTCTACCGTGCGTCCAATCGGTCTTGCCCCCTCCCCCACCATCCTCAGCTTTGGCTTAATATTTTAGACCTACACTTTAACTCAGTGTTCTAGCCAAAACACTACATTGGGTTTAGGTCCAGAGTAGTGGTAAGGAGCACACAACAGCCAAGGTTTCAATTCTGAGTTGGCCATGCCAATCTTGTGTGAGTTAAACACTCAGGCCTGATTTTCCACCCCCTTAAGGAGGATAGAAACAGTACCTGTCTCCTAAGTGTGTGTGTGTGTGTGTGTGTGTATGAAACAAGATCGTGTGTGTTGAGCGCCTGACATCGGATAAAGTTCTCAATAAATGTTAATTCTCAATAAATGTTAACTGCACCTTCTAGTGGTTTATTTTTTCCCTAGGGTCATTTCATGAGATTCAGTGTTTGCGGAGTACTATGCATTAGACAGACCTTTGGGGAGAATCGTAGGTCTCTTTTTAAGAAACCATTTCTACACATCAAGTCTGAGAGGAACATATTCCTGGAGAACATTCAAGGACCCTTGGTGAAGCACCCTAACTGCCACTAGAACCTGAATTCAGGAGTTGTCTCCTGAGTTAAGAGGCATTTCTGACCAAGGAAACTAAGAGTTCACTCCCTGAACTTCAGAGTTTGAGAATAAGATTTATAAAATAAACCATTAGATTAATCATATTTGTAATTGATGTTTGTCCTCTATAGGCAAAAGGAGTATTGATTACTGGAAGTTAATGTAATCATCATGATTGGCTTACCTGGATTTGAGAGAGGTCACTTGGGGTTAAGTGGATGTGGGTGGGCAGACAGCAGATTTCAGGTGACTTTTTGGAGAGTGAGTTGTGTCCAGTTACACTTGGGTCACTCGCACTTCAACATTTACTTCAGAGTGGCAGTTTTTTAGTATGGTTGATTTACAACATTATGTTTTCAGGTATGACATGAAAGTGAACATAGTGATTCAGTATTACGATAGATTATACTCCATTGAAAGTTATTACAAAATAATGGCTGTCACTCCCCATGCAATAATATATCATTGTTGCCTATCCATTTTATACTGAGTAGTTGGTATCTCTTAATCCCATAACCTTATCTTGCCCCTCCTGCTTTCCCTCTCCCCACTGATAACCGCGAGTTTGTTATCTATATCTGTGAGTCTGTTTCTGTTTTGCTAAATATATTCATTTTAGTTTTTACATATGTGATATCATACAACATTTGTCTTTTTCTGTCTGACTTATTTCACTAAGTATAATAACCTCCAAGTCCATTCTTGTTGCAGTGGCAAGATTTCATTCTTTTTTATGGCTGAGTAGTATTTCGTTGTGTGTGTGTGTATGTGTGTCCACTGCATCTTCTTTATCCATTAGTCCCTTGATGGACATTTGGGTTGCTTCCATATCTTGCTCACTGTAAACAGTGTTGCTATGAACAATGAGATGCAGTTATCTTTTTTTATTGACCTGAAAACAAGCTCATATGTATTCTTCCTGTTTTGTTAGTTTTGATGCTTAAAAAAAAAAAACTTTTATATTGGAGTATAGTTGATTTACAATGTTGCATTACTTTCAGGTGTACAGCAAAGTGATTCAGGTATACAGATATCTATTGTTTTTCAGATTCTTTTCTCATGGAGGTTATTACAGAGTACTGGGTAGAGTTCCCTGTGCTATACAGTAGGTCCTTGTTGATTATCTATTTCAGATATAGTAGTGTGTAAATGTTAATCCCAACTTTCTCATTTATGCATGTATCTTTTTTGATTAGTACTTTTTGTTTTTTTCTGGACGTATAATTGGAGTGGATTTGCAGGATCATATGGTAGTTCTAGTTTCAGTTTTTTGAGGCGAGAACAAGACTTAAAAGAAGCCTTTAAATTGGTTGTATTTGTAACTGACATTTGTGCTTTACAGGCAAAAGAACTATTGTTTACTGAAAGCTGATGTAATCATTGTGATCGGCTTTTCAAGATGTGATCAAATTTTGAGTAGGGGTAGTCTTAGAGAATGAATTTATGGTTACCAGGGAGAGGTGGTTAGGGAAGGGACAGATTGGGAGTTTGGGATGGACATGTACACACTGCTATGTTTAAAATGAATAACCAACAAGGACCTACTGTATAGCACAGGGAATGCTACTCAGTATTCCATTAACAATCTATTTGGGAAAAGAATCTGAAAAAGAATAGATACATGTATAGGTATAACTGAATCACTTTGTTACACACCTGAAACTAACACAATACTATTAATCAGTTATACTCCAATGTAAAATAAAAAGTTAAAAAGATTTTTTTGAGTGGGATTAAGTAGATTTGGAAGGTTGAGAAAAGCAGACTTCAGGTGACTCTCAGGAGTCTGAGTTGTATCCAGTTGCACTTGAGACACTCACTTCCACATTCTCCTTCTCCTTTCTCTAGTTCCAGTTTCTGCTTCACTTTTCTAAAAAGACGTCGCACAGTTTTCCAGTCACTGATGTTGCCACCCCACAGA